ATCGAATCCAACTGCCGCGCATTGAGGATCTCCTAGAGCCCACCAAACAGGAACTGCACTATATGTAAGTAAATACACGCATAAAACAAAAAAGAAGCAATATGCTCTTCAGTTTTATATAAAAAATGTAGGCATTTTCCCCCTAAAACAAACAAAAATTGTGGGAAAGAAAATATTCTTGAAAATATCCTCAAAAATACTGTGAGGAAATCATTAAAAAACTATATTTCATTGAAAGATGTACGAAATATACAAATGAAATTGTTTTTACTCCCCAAAACATTATTCAAATTTAAATCCATTTTTTCGAATTGCGAATTTGGAGGTAAAAAAATTTAGCGCATATATTTTGTGCATTAAAGACTTTTTTTAAGCGAAGCATATATCATTTTATTTATTTTTTTTTGAAAAATGAAAAGTTCTTCAAAAACATTGCAATGCATTCAAAAAGTATGGAAACTTATCAAAAAAAAAGTCAGGAAATATTTAAAAACCCAATAAAAAATCCAACGATACCCAAATTCAGATCAAAGCAAGAGATAATTATAAAAAAATATTTTTTATATTTATCTCCATAATGAAAGTCATTCAAACTCAATTTTAATCAGAAGATAGAATTAATATTACTTTTCAAGTATTTGCAACGATCTGTGAAAGTTTTTGCTAACTTTCTGAAATGCGCCTAAAAACTATTTCAAGAATTATTTTACTTGGCTGAAATAACGCACTTCTTTTTTTGTAGTGTAGCTTATTTATCGCAAATTTATTGCTAAACTTTATTCTTTGCTTACAGACCGGAACCCCTGATGCTGGGCGGCGATCAAACCGTGGCTATACTCTGCACCTCCGGCACGACGGGCTTGCCCAAAGCGGTTTGCATTTCGAACTCCGCTTGCCTGTTCGATTTTGGGTAAGCATTCTGAATTCCAAATTCCTAGAAGCTGTATACTTATTGGTACTCCTTCTCTGCAGCTTTGTCACCGGCCAGGATGTGCTGCTGTCTTTTAGCACGATCGACTGGGCGCCGGGTATGTTCAACATGCTGTTCAGCTGCTGCCATGGCTCGACGCGCGTCATCACCGACCGGGCCTATACGCCGGAATATATGCTGCAGCTGATCGAGAAATACAAGGTCACGCTGCTGACCCTGGCGCCCCAGCAGGCCGCATCGCTGCTGAAGGCGCCCACGCTCAGCAAACAGAGATTGGCCAGCGTGCGCTTCATCAGCATTGGCGGCGGCAATTGCTATGTGGCCAATCTGTTAAAGCTGCAGGAATATCTGCTGAATGGTCAAATCTCCTATGGCTATGCCTTGACCGAATGCGGTGGTGTGGCGGCAAATATGGGCGTGGCCAAGCCCTCATCAGTGGGCAGAATTGTGCCCGGCGTTAAGGTGAAAATACTGGACGACGCCGGTCGCAGTCTGGGCCATGGCGAAACGGGTGAGATTCTGGTGCACAATGGCAAAGTATGGAATGGCTATTATGGCAATCCGAATGAATCGAAACGCATGCAGGACTATCAAGGCTGGTTCCATACCGCCGACATGGGCTACTTTGACAACGAGAACTTCTTGCACATTGTGGAACGCAAGCGGGACATGTTGCGCTTCCATGGCGCCCAATATTGCCCCTACGAAGTGGAGCAGGTCATAGCCGAGCTGCCGGATGTGATAGAGGCGTGTGTCTTTGGCCTGTGGAACGAGGTGGACGGTGATCCCGCTGCCGCAGCGGTTGTTAAGGTGCCCGGCAGTCGGCTCACCGAAATGGATATTGTGGAATATGTGGCCAAGCGTCTGGTGGTCACCCACAAGCAGCTTCACTGTGGTGTGTTCTTTTTGAACGAATTGCCCAAAACGGGCAGCGGCAAGGTGCTGCGCCAACAGGCCAGAGATCAGGCGTTGGGCAAAGAGTGGACCGACCATCGCAATGGACATTAATTGTTTATATTTTGGCTTAAGTCTTAGCGTTTAGGCATTTTATTTATTAAATGACTCACACATTCAAGTATTCAATCATTTGGTGAAAGGCATCGGAAACACTTTCCGGCCAAAAGTTGCTTTAGATAGGCGCAAGTATTCATTTTGGCTTTGTGCTTTTGTATTTTTTTGGCATTATCACGTGCTTATCTAGAAATGATTAGCTAACAAAAGCGATATGCTGGCAACCAAATACCAATGGGCACGAGGGTGGAACGAGGAACTAACTTTAATATATGACAAGCAAGAAATGTTCAATTAGTCAGTATGTTTAAGTACTGAGGAGATCCTAAATAATCAAAGAGTGTTAAATGCTTTACCGGCCTGTTATTTGTAAGCTTATCAGTCAATGTTATGAGCCGTCGTAAGATGTTAGGAGCATGTTAAATAGGTTTAGAGTATAGTTGAGTATAGCTTTCGAGCTTGACAAACTATCTTATGAACTTGAACGTTAATTGGATGTTAAAGAGCTGTCCAATTTTTAACAGTCAATTAATTGCGAGCTTATCAGACTATGTTATTAACTCTCGTAAAGTGTTAGGATAATGTTAATCAGCTGACCCTTAACACTCTGTTATTTGCGAACTTAACAGTCAATATTATAAGTCAACGTAAGATGTAAGGAGCATGTTAAATAGCTGTAGTTTGCAACTTTAACCGACTCTTAGCTATGTTTTTAACAGTCTGTTATTTGCAAGCCTAACAAACGAAAATGGTTAAGAGAATGTTAAAGAGCTGTAGAATTTCTAACTAGTAATATACAAGCTGAGTGGCAAGGCTTTAACAGTCAATTAATTGCGAACTTTACAGACTATGTTATAAACTCTCGTGAAGTGTTAAGAGAATGTTAATGAGCTGTAGAGTTTCCAGCCTAACCAGCTGTGTCAAGATTGTTAACACGCTGTTATCTGCGAGCTTACAGCCTATGTTAATAAATGCTAAGGAGCTGAAGACTTTTCAACTATAACATATAAATGGCAAGAAAGAACTCATAAAATGACTTGTAAAACCTAATGAGAATTTGTTTATGATTTTATTAGGTCTATATAAACAGCTCTCTATAAGTAAAGTGAAAGCGAAACACCCATCAAACGCATGTTAACAGAACTATATAAGAGTGATCTGCAGTAATAGCCAGATGAATTGTCGAAGTGGTCAATTATTAAGCCAAGTGAACAATAAGGGATCTGTTTTGAAACTTAAGGATGTAGAAATGTCTTATCCGAAGGCCACTGCAATGTTAATAAGAATAAAAAAAAGTGTATCCCTGAGAAGATCCCTCTGCACAATCTTTAGCTAAGCCTTCAAGTGTTCCTTGTACCTTTAGTAGAGATAAGTAGATCAACCAATTGCTACTAAGCTAGCCTAATGTATCGATCTGTCAACCCTCTCTGACATCTAAATTCATAGCTCCACTGATTAGTCGCATTTCAGTTCAACAACCCTTTAACCTTTGAATAGATGAAATGCGTGGGGGTATGCCTCTGCGGAAACTGATCGTATATAACATTTGATTGACAGCTAAGCTAAGTTGTACTTTGTACGTGATCTTGTCAGCATTGCAATTGGATACGTTTGGCCCCCTGCCCCCACCCGGCGTGAATCATGAGCACCGCTTGGGTGCAAACCCTAAAAATAAACTCGATGTTTGGATACGCCCTGCTGGAGCAACAACAGCAGCAGCAGCAGCAGAAACAATTAAACAGGCACTTAAGGCCAAAAATTGATTTCATTTCAGATCGCAAAGGATCGTTGATAATGATCGGGCGCTCTTAAGCTGATTGACAGTCGCGAGGCTGTTGTTTTCAATGTCAAGTTCATGAAATACAATCGCATTGGATATTTTTTTTCTTCTTCTTTTATTCGGGCATTTAGAGAGATATTTGTCACTGATCTTGGCAGCAATCATGTGGCTTTCCTGTTGTTGATGATCATGATCGCGGCCGCCTGCCTGTTCAGGCATATCAAATATGCAGGAAGTGCAAGACGTGGCCAATTGCATTAGTCTCGGTACGCCAGGGGCAACATTTCAAAGCTGCCTGGCGCCTGAGCCCAGCTTTGGTTAACCTGGCTTAACTTGACTGATCTTGTTCAGAGACAGAGAGATCGCCGAGCGTTTCTAATTGTCATGCAAATACCAATTATCATTTGTCAGTAATGCCACTTAGAATAATGTGTGTCTATGTATAATTAAATGCCAGCGAATGATTTCTGATCGATCATATCCACCAACCGCTATCTACGATCAGTGATCGCAACATAGATCAGAACTCTGAACTCAGCTCTTGCTGATTAATTCATTACCAACTGTCGACCAGCTTGTCAGTTACACATACGACAACAGCTGCTGGTTCGGATTTTACTATCTATAAAGTGTATATATATTATATGGGACCATAATTAACGTGTAAGTAAATGTTATTGCATTATATAAACAACTGTTGTGGCCGTATAAACTTATTTATGCCTGTCGTCTATGCTGTTTGAAGGATTGTTTAATTAGTTTTACCATTTGCATATGTCAAAGCAAAGAGCCCCCGCAGTTATCTTCACCCCCCGCAGAGCTTCTACACTATTAGCTCACTAGAAAAATCCTATTAAGTCATCTAATGCAGCGACTCATTAAAGAAAGTGCTGGCCAGCAATGGATTTGCATATACCCTAGAAAAATTGTATATATTTCTTTAGTCAAGCCAAAGCGTTAAATGCCATTTAAAATTTTTAAGGTACGACAAAATTCTTACAGTAGAAAAAATGACTTATTTTTACAAAAAACTTATTAACCATTTGAAGACTTGTCTAAGTTCCACAGCTTTTCACAGCCCACTTCTAATTGGTTTCTATGTTTATAACTATGTCGATTGGCCGAAATATTTGCGTGCAATAGAAAAACGTTTTTATGGTAACGAATTGAACTTTCATAAATCAACTGAACAGAAGATAATGCCAGCTGACAATCGAAGAATGGATTGAAAGAATATGGTTAGGAATTAGAATAGATTAGTCTTGAAAATGTTAAAATATGTATAACACTTAGAATAGGTAAAATCTTGATTTTTAATACCCTATATACGCATTAACATTAAAAGTAGTTTAGTCAAGACGAATTTAGAGCCAAGACTTGGGCTAATGAATGTGAAAATTCGGGATCTTGAATAGAACCTAAATAAGTTAACGCCGCAAGCAATCTTTGGGTTAATTGCACAGGTGGAAATAAGATTGAAATTGTCTGCGAAGCATATTAATTATGATCACAAGAACCAATATATAAATTGTATATAAATAATATAACCAATATACCCATTTTCTTGTCTGGACAGTGTGAGTATAAATCAGATAATATATTTTTTAACTCATAAATATTAAAAATTAGTTTAAGAGTACAATTACCAATAGATAAAAAGTGACCAAATGGTATAGCCAATACTATACCCGATTCTGAATACCCTACATAATCATTGGCATAACAACTTTGACACATTGCCAACGACATGGGAGAACGTTGAGAACACACAATTTATGGCGCTTAAATTGCAGTCATGCGCATGAGCGGCAACGGCTAACAAGATCAACATCTCAACGTGGAGCGTAGCCCCCAACTCCGCCACCAAGCTATAACCCGAACACCCTGCTCGATACCAAGACCCCGCCTACCCCCCCCCCCCCTCCCTCCCTCCGACCAACAGCAGCCCCTTAACGCAAGCTAATGCGAGTGCGGCTTTGGGCGGATGTTTGGTGTCAAAACACGCAGCGCATTTTCCCTGGAATTTCAGAGCGTTACCCGCGGTCTGCGGATCCTTACGCCTCATCATCGGCTCCGTTGTCGTCTCGCCGGTCTTCAACTCCAACTCCAACACCGGGCTGGTTAATTTATGTTAGCGACGTGTTCGCCAGTGAAAACAAACGGGTCGATCGCGAATGGAGACGATCGATCGATGCTGGGCTATAAAAATAGTGTTCGAAACTCGTTGCTCGGTCGGGGCTGTTGTTGCTTTTATCAATTTGTGTTCATTTCTAAGCACGAATCGGCCAGCATAGATCATAAAATGCTTGCCCCCGGCCATGGTCAATGTAAGGAAACAACAATAACAATAACAACAACGACAGCAAATGAAAATTTACATAATTACCGCTGGCGGTGCCTTTATGAGAGCCGCCCGAACGTGTCAAAATGAAATGTGTTGCATGATTAGCGCGTAAATAACACGGCCAAGGCATAAATCTCATCGAGTAGTCGACTCCCCAGCCAAGGAGCCGTCTCCGGGTAAGATAATCAAATAAGTGTAGCGATTAATAAAGATGAAGATGCTAGCCGTGGCTGGACAGAGACAAACGCCAAGAGGGAGAACAAGAGGCCTCCAGGCGCAGAATGCACGACCAGAAGGTACCCTGTACCCAATATACCAAAAGATCGATAAATATTTGAATATACTTAAGAGCGAGAGAGTCTTTGATTTTTGGGAAACACAATCCAAACCGAAAATGTACTAAAACTATGTATACGAGTTGTTCAATACGAGTTGTTCAACAAAAGTAGTTTGCAGAGCGATATTTATCGATTTTAAGAAAACGAACGAGTTTATTTTCAAATAAATAAAATTTTCTGAATGCGCAATAACTTTAATGCATGATTTTATATCTAAAATCGATATTTATCGATTTTAAAAAACTTAGTTATTATTTTTCCATAACACTATATTTTTCTGCTTGTGCAAAGCCCTTAATGGCAAAATCTCTAGCCCTTACAAGCCTAGAGTTACGTTTAAAAACAGAAAGCTGAAAACCGATATTTATCGATTTTCTAAAAACGAAGACAAAAAAGAAAAGGGACTAATTCAATTGAGTTTGTCGATCTTCTGCAAGTAACATACATATGCACAACTGCAATATACCCTATTTGCCCATTTTCAATGGGTATGGCGCACAAAAAGTGAGAGAGAACTCAACTCAGTAGAGATCAATGTGAATGCTGATGTGGCCAACTGGCAAGCTGGCCAGCTGTTTTGGTTCGCCTGGCGCCTGCAGCGGCTGGAGTCAGCTTGCCCCTTGCGCCACAGCCCCCCGTTGTGGGAGGTGTGAAAAGTGTGGCGAGGGGCAGCCAACATATTGCCAAGCTGCAGTCGCCAACGGGCTAACATGACACATTGCTGTAGCATAACTTGGTCAGTAATAAGCAAGAGCAACAAGTGATATGGCTTATGCCTGCTGGCCAGGGCCAAGATGAAACCGGCCAACTTGTTGCTCATATCGCAGATGCTGCGATAGACAGCAGTTCCTTAACACGTACCCAGAGCCGCAGGCCAGATAAAAAAAAAATAAGCACAGTTAATCTTGGGTTGACGAATGTTTAATGCCCTTGCAGACATGCGATTTATAAACACATTTATTTTACAAATAGATTGGTCAAGATATCTTTAAAAATAAACCGATTTTCTTATAATGACGGCTAAAGACAGCTATATGATATAGTATTCCGATTTTTATACGATTTTACCTATACATTAGAATGCGAGTAAGGATCCTAATTGCTGAGTCTGGTAGGAACATCTTGAAAAACAAAAAATTTTTGCGCACTATACTAAATTTTCGACAGATAGTAGTACGATCTGATTAAGAGAATGCACGTTGCACAATGCGTGAATAAATTAGATTACCCTCTTAAAGGGTATTTAAAAACTTGTTAAGAGCAAAATGTTGTTAGCGTAGCTGCAATCACTTTTGGCCTGTTATAAAGTACCATTTTTCTTAGCGGTTTCATATTACCGTTGCGATGCGGTCAAGGTCTCCGCAAATGTCGCTGTAACTTTCATTGAGAGACATTGGCATAACCGATTCTTTATATATATATATATATATATACATATATATATGTCTACATGTATGTATTGAAGATATATTATGCTGCTTACCAGTTTGGCTGCAACAACCTATTGCCATGCGCCCCACACACATAAATTAGTTTTCCGTGTTCACTTGTCACATGTATCGGCATTGGGCATAGCTGCAGCCCGTTTGGCTTGCGGGTGTCTATGCACAAACACACACACATGCAGGCACACAAACACACACACACACACACACTTATGGCTTATCAGTTGGCCACCTGAATTTGCAAGAGTTTTTGGCCCTAACTAATTGCCAATTGTTTATTTTAAGCCTCGCTGCACACAGCGCGAAAGGGAGCCTCCTCTGATAGTTGCATTCCTTCTTTGGCCGTAGGCGGCTTAGTGCCCTTGAATTTTTGTGTGGGCTTGTGCGTCGTCGCATTGATAAGCCAGCGGCGGCTATCAACAAGTGCGTTCGGCAATGCAACAAGCCAATCAATATTTATTAATACACACTTTTTAAAACACACTTAGATTATAAACTAAAACTAAAACTTTTTCACAAAAGACGCGCGAACGTAAACAACGCAACAACATACTAATTGGCAACGCTAACAACGCAGCGGTTGCCACTTGTCAAAATTAAAATGTCGCAGCAATAAGTAAAATGTACCAGTGCAATGAAATATTCGTGTTTACAGCTTTTAACATTTCATTAACTTACGTATAAAAAATAAAGAACATTAAAAATGGAAAGCTCATTGATACAATGCATTAGCATTTATGAACAAACTAAAACAACAGTGCACCGTTAAATAATAAAAGTACCAATTTTGCTGCGATAATCGATATATTGATAACATTGCCTGTTGCTAATTGCGCAGTGTTGCCCATACGGTAATTATTCTTCCCGCTTCTGCTTTGCACTTTTGGCGGATAGCGGTGCACATTGTTTTTTTTTCTTCAGTGACACGCAAAAGTCAAATGGCATCGCGCAGCCAGTGTCAATTGTAAATGTAATTGCAAATAAAAATTAAACATGCGCTTATAAAAGAGTGTTTGCTGCACAGATAAACTGTGAAGTGTTCGATTTATAAGAGTGATTATAAATATTCAGCATGCCGGCTAATTTATAACAAAATCCTAAATACACTTGTTGCGCACGCATGACACACACACACACACACACACGCTCATGTATGTAAGTACACACATGCACACATTTTTAAGACTGCGTTTGCTTGCAAGTTCAAAGACCCTAAGAAATAATATACAAATACCTAAATCTAATAGCATGGTCTTAGCTGCCGGCCTGTCTCGCCCGGCATGGCAAACACTTTTACTCCTCTGCTTATCGCAATGCCCATAAATAAAGCTCACGTCTATTAGCGCTGTCATTAATTTTCCCATTTGGAAAATATGCAAATTAAACGCTGATTAATTGCTGGCAGGAAAAAGTGAATCGTTTTCCCTTATCGCGACGGCGACTTACGAGTTAAGTTTTAGGTGGTTCGAACATCAAGTGTTTCCGTAGTGTAGCGGTTATCACGTGTGCTTCACACGCACAAGGTCCCCGGTTCGAACCCGGGCGGGAACAAGTCTTAATTTTTTTATTACGAATTTTTGCACGCAATTTTAGAGTTATATTTAGGTGCTTACATGTGTAATTATTTTCCTTGAAATCAAGTTCATGCGTGTTTGTGCCAGCTTACACGCAAGCAACGTCAATATCAACACGTGTAAATGTACATATTTATGTGCCTACTCCCATGCATGCACCTTTTGGTAGTTTTATTCCCTTTTAATGAGCCTCGTTTTACGATCATTTAGGTGTGTATTATATTTATAAACATACAACCCTCGGCACACACGCACCAATTTCAACTGTTTAACGAGCCGCCAATGTCAGCCCCCGCATGACTTCCAATCCTGACACTTTTATGGTTTCCATTTATTAACCCCAGCGTCTTTTATTGGGCAGCGCACTCAACGCATGCCACCCATAGCGGAAACGGAATGTTCTATTAAATTTGTGTTGAATTGGTGGTAGAAAGTACACTTTCAAATTGAATGGGCTTTATTGACAGATTCCACATTTAAACCAACAATATAAAATTGAAAATAGCTATATTTAAAAGTGCAGGTATTTTATCGAAGCCTAGGAACACATTTTTCTTTAAATGTATGTTTTTATTTTGCTGGGCTTATAAAATTTCCCTTATATAATCTAGAGGATTTACTTTCTCCATTTACTTCCATTCGTAAACTAAACATTGTTTGGGCACTCTTGGCATACAGGTTTCCGTAGTGTAGTGGTTATCACGTGTGCTTCACACGCACAAGGTCCCCGGTTCGAACCCGGGCGGGAACAATTCTTTTGAATATTTTAGATACATAATATATAATAAAAATAATGTTTTTTTTAAATTAAAGAATAATGTTAGTTATGCGCTATTTTGCATTAAAATTGTTTGTTTAATTTAAATGCAAAACTTTCAATCGTTAGAGCTTAAAGCTTTTGATACAAAAGCTTTTTGCTCCATTTGTCAAGGGCTCATCTACTGCTGCTGTTTTAGAACGGTCTTGCATAGTGGAAAAGCCCTTAACTAGCAACTCAACTGTTGTGTGCTTATATGGGGATGTAGCTCAGATGGTAGAGCGCTCGCTTAGCATGTGAGAGGTACGGGGATCGATGCCCCGCATCTCCAAGGAATTTTTTTTGTCTTCATGTTTTATTTTTAATATTTTTTCTACTTGTAACTGACAAGGCAGGCTGCAACATTTGTGCCCAAGCCCTGTCCAACTATTTGGCTTAGAAATTATGCTGGCTACATCTCAATTCAATTTAAATGGTTCTAAAATGCGATTTTCACACGCTTCCCATCCAAAACCCGAACTGACATGTTATGCAATCGGGTTTCAGCTTTAGCTTTTGCTCGTTTCCCGGCTGTGCGCCCATTGCTTCGAGCAGGAAGAGTAAAAGAAGCCAGGGCAGAAGTCGCCGACGCTAATCCAATTAAGCATATTCATCATATTCACGCAAATGCAGGCCATGAACTAGAAAGACAACCTACGGAAGGGGGGGAACCAACCGAAACTCGTGGAAAATGCAGACATTTCCGTCATGTTGCGTTGATTAAAATCTAATTGAATTTAACTGGAATTCTGTAAATTTTCAACACTTTTCATAATATTTTCCAACACTTCTTGCGTAAGTGTCAAAATATTAACTTAAGCGGAAAAGTAAATGTATAACGAATTGTAGTAGAAGAATTTCAAAGCAAACAGATAAAACGAAATAACTAAGTTTTTTAACAGAAATCTTTTATTCAAATTTATTGAATAAACAATTTGTAAGCTAAGTTAGCATAACTATCTAAAATGACCGAATATTTAAAAAAAAACTTATTTTCACCTATCTGTTTAACAAACACTTAAGAAATGCGGAAAATCGAAAGTTTTACACTGTAGTCATTGAAAGATGAAGCCCCTTTCAGTCAAATGAAAACAGGTTACCCGATGTCCGGGTATCCAGCCGGGTGGTGATCAGTTGCCACTGGTCTAATGTCTAAATGTGCTATCTAATCTGTGGACTCCTCATTAGATTCGCCTTCTATTAATGGCATTGGCATTGCCATTAAATAATTGCAGTTCAGCCGGTTAACCAGCTGTTGTTGCCTGTGCTGCCGGGGGCATTACCTGTTGCGTGTGATTCAGTCAAAACGGTGTATTCTCTATACGTCACGTAGACAGAGTTACAGCCATGCATAAACTGAAAATCAAAACCGATATACTCGAATGACCATAAAACTGTGGAAAATAAAATAAACAATCGATTGCAGACGTAGACATAAACCTAAGCGACTAAATCAATATCGTAAAAGCCGAAACTTTAATACCCTAATGCGAAGAAATTTGCGAATATTTCAGGGAGTGTGCAAATGTTGAAAGTGTTCAGCACATTTGCGTCCTATTATAAATAATTGTAATTTTATTAAAATTAAATGGCAAAAAATATTTTTTTTAAATACAATTTTTTGTCTCTTTGTTCAACAAATATCGTAAATGGTAAATTTATTAATGATTTCGTGCTTTGAAGTATATTATATCACAAGACGGTTTGTCCATAAAAATGGAAGAAAACCTTGGGAATACAATTGGGAGTAAAACTTTTAGCGCGTTTTTATAATAGTCGGGATATTTAATTAAATAAACTAATATTTTTCTAATAGGAAATTATTTACTTGATTCCCCACTTCAATAAACGAATCTATATCTATAAATATATGGCTGTGCATTAATTATCTAATCAAAAACCAATGAATTATCTACACAAATGCAAGGGAAACGCGACCTAGAGCAATTTCAGATAATGCCACCTAGATATAACCCCTGCTAACCTTTACAAAACGGAATCCAAAGTTTTCTTCAATTTCTTCAACAATATTCCAATTAGACACGTCAATTACAACGGTGCGCGATCAGCTGACGACGCGCACAAGTGAAAGCCAAACAGCCGGCGGATTCTTATTTGAACTTCCACCGGCCTCTAATCAGCGACAGCCCCAATTGCTCTGATATCAGCACAATGCGCATTCAGCGGCAGCGAGAGGGAGGGTGTGAGAGGGAGAGATACAGAGAGAGAGAGAGCGCGGTAGTGAAAGGAAACGCCGGCACCTTCGCCGTGTCATTATGATCATCAGAATTGCCTGATAAGCAGTGGCAAATTTTTGTTTTCGTTTTCTTTTCTCCGTTTTTTCACAAATTTGTGGAAGTGCGCGTGCCGAGCGACGTCGACTGCGACGTCGACTGCGACGTCATCGAACCTTATGCTTTATGCTTTATGCTGATATGTTTTTTTTTTGTGTTTCGTCTGTTGCTGCAAATCTAAAGATGGCAGCGGCACGGCATTGTAAACACGAGGCACGATGAGCACGTAAAATAATTTGTGAACACGCTTTCAAATTGTGTACAGGCAAATGTTGTTGTTATTAAGCAAGCATTTTCTTTGATTATCTACATTTTTCTTATTTGAAACAGTTTATTAAATAAGCATTGCTTTTAAGACCAGCTAACCAGGAAAATGGATTGAAAACTCTTTCAAATACTACCTGACCGATATATATATATTAATATTTCAGCTTCTAACGAAGTTGGAAAAAAAGTCGTGGATAAATTTGGTAAATTCAATTAGACTTTATAATTTAAAGGTTTTCTTTTTGCTTGGTAGACTCTTAGGCAATATTTTGCTACGTCACGTTTGGGCTAAGTAGTTTTATTTTGTGGAAAGTTGCATTATTTCTTGTTAGTCGGATGCGAAAAACAAAAAAAAAATGCTGTTCTTACATGTTAGAGTACCCAACAGCAACACGATCGAGTCATGTTTCAGTCAAATCAATCGAATACCAAATTATCCGACAATAAATCCTGTTTTGCAACACTTAACTATCGTTTAGAGGTCCTGTGCATTCGTGACACGTGAGAACTCACGATACGCGCCCAGCTCCCGCAAATTCTATTCTGTTGCCAAGTGCTGCAGAGCTTTGTGTGATGATGACTGCTCCGTTTGCCAGTTGCCTCGTGTTTCGTCTATTCATGCGAAAATATCAGCAGCGTTGAATGAATGAATGTGAATGTGGGAACCTGAGCAAACGGCAACAGCCGCAGTTGTCGTCACAATTTCGCCATTTCAAGGCCTACGTGACTTGTCTCACATATGTACATATGTATGTATGGAACTGGGTCTGGGTCTATAACAATGGGTGCAGAGTCTCCGCACTTGACATTTTGAGCTAGGGGGCGTTCGTTAAGCATTTGTCGCCCACTCTATATATTATGTTTGTCGTAATTTGAGCGCAAATCGTAGTTTTTCTCACCGTAATTTTTTCAATTATAGCAGCCGCTACGTATGCGTTATTTTTGCAATAGCAATAGCACCAGCTGCTCGCACACCACATGATCTTGCCTGTTGCCACACGTGCTAGCGTCTGGCTATTACGACAAAAGGTCTTTGACAGTCGTCTGACAGAGAGAGAGAGAGAGAGAGAGAGAGAATGGGAGATTACTTAACAGAGATAGTGCCTCTCTCTCTCTCAGTTGCTGATAATACTATTTGGCTGCCAGCTGCTCGTATTGCTAGACAATAGATAGGTTTGGTTTTGGTATTCCATGCCAAATAAATCACATAAAGATGGCCCATAAAAACCAACAAACAGTGCCTAAAATGTAGAAAGAGAAAAAACTGCTGCATCTAGTAATCGAAAAACTGAAGTTAAATTAAAACAACAAATAGTTTGCCCACCGCCCGTTGCTTGTTTATAGAATAAAAAACTGAACGTCCCGCCTTGGAGGCTGTCGAGAGTTTTACTGGTCCAAAAATATAAGCAGCAAAACGCATAAATTTTTAGCAAACTAAGTGGTTCGAGCACGAAACATCTATAGATCGTTTAAAAAATCAACCCAATGAAAAAAAAAAACAAAAATGAAGGAACAAATTAAACGCTCATTAATATTTTTAGAATGTTTTAAGCATAGTATAATTTATTTCATGCAATTTGATTTTCCATTTTCTCTCTTATAATTTCATAGTCTTCAGTCTTAAATAATAGAAATTGTGTTTAAACTAAACAAAAGGTGCCTATATTTAAATACTATAATTAAGGTTTTATAGTAAGTTGAATAGAAACTTAGGCCTATAAATTAGATCAGGAACTATAGCTTGTGTGTTTCGGTGGTACGTCTAGATACTTGTATATTCCCAGTTAGCCAACTCAGAGGGCGGTACTCGGCTGTAGCCAGAGCATAATCAGCAGCAGCTGTAGGAACAGCAATTGGAGGCTGTAAAGTGCATAGAAATGGTATTAGATAAGATTTCGGGGATAGGGTAATTTTGAGATTTAATTTTGGTTTTTTTTCTTTTTTTTTTTTTTTTTGGGCATAAAAATGAATTGCATGCCGAAAGTCAAATATTACTATGGAATTTTGTAGTTTGCATTTCATTTTTGTGTGTTTGTTACGTGCAAAATGCCAAAATGAATTAATATTTTTAATAATTTTCAAAAACCATGCAAATAAACAATGCTAAACCCAACTAAAACATGATATATCACGTTTTATTAACTTTTTTTCTAACTACGCCACGCTTACCATTAAAATATTATTTTCTTTTATTTTTTTTATTTATGCTCGTTTCCACTCAGTTGCAAAAACAAATTGTTTATATTAATTTTTATATAATTTTAATTTTTATTTTTGTTTATTTTTTAGTTTGAATATTTTGTTTTTCATGCTGTTTTCGTTGCGCTGCAGCGCAATAATTGTAGAATTTTTAATGCGTAAATTTATTTATAACTAAAAAATTTGTTAGTCTACAATTTTAGGACAAAACTTAATAGTTAAAATGTATAAATAAATGTTGTTTGTTTTTTGTTTTGTAAAGTAAAATATAATAAATTAATAACCTAAAAAGTATATTATTTGTAAATTAAATGTATATCATTTAAGTTCACGCACATTTATCGTATTTGTAGCAAATAAATAAAATAATTACAGGTTAGTCTAAACTATTAATTAAAATACAATTTATTGATTTGTGAGTTCTTTTTTTTTTGTTTCAAATTTTTTTTTTTAGTTTTTCGTTTGTCGTTGGCTTCATTGTTTCGTTTATGGCTTTTGGGATTATAATAGTTTTCGTTGTTGCCGCACTTAAGATTGGTTTACATGGCTTAAAATACGCACTGAGAGGCAGCGAGGTTCGAATTCGACAATACCACAAAAATTGAATATATATATACATATATATATATGCATAGTAGGTATAGGTAATCATAATCAGCTGACGCATCATAATCGTAAAACTATTTACAAAACAAATTTCGCATGCGAACTATTCGAATTGTCACATTTTACACCTACAAATAGACTCTTGTTGTTATTATATAATATTATTTATAATAAGGAATACATATTTTATACTTTTGCAAGTTTGCATTACGGTTGAGCTTTTCTAGGTCTTGAGTGGTCGTATTTTTGAGTATTATTCATGTTATCTGTTGAATAGTTTTTTATCAGAGACTCAAGTATTTCGAAAGTTGGCTGTAAACAGCTATAAATAAAATAATGCATGGCTAAATATATTTGGCTAGTAAAAAATATTTATAATAAAATATAAAATGAGCGTGCTATTTGATATTTATTTTATACATTTGCATGATGGTTCGGTGTCAATGGAAAAGTACTTAAAATCAAAATTAAAAACCAAAAAGAAAAATAATAGAAAATACTCGAGACTCCGTTTGTAATACATTTATTTATGTTGATATTCTTTTTCTTCTTGATAGTTTGCATTGTTTAGGCAGGCACACAAGACTTATCGATACTTATCGATTTTATTTCGTGTGCTGCATCAAAAATACTTCTTAGAACCACAGTCGTTGGGTTTATGATGACATACATATGATGTACATACATACATAAGTGTAGGAGTGATGTGTTGTTTGCATGTGTTGTGCAGTGTAATGCGTTTGTTGGTGTGTGTTCGGTATGTGTGTGTGCGTGTGTATGTTTGAAAACTTGCAAATTACAATATCGCATACTCAAGCCAAACTTTTTACAAGATCCTGCTCGATTTCTTAATCATATACTGGGCTTACATACAATCCCAATAATTATGTTTTCTTTGCAATTCCATTTAAATGCCTTCAAAATAAATCAAATTCATCATCAATTCAACAACTTTCCACACTTTGTACGTTTCAAAATACCAGAAAGTATATCCAAATATTAATAAATACCAATTAAAAGGAGTAATAGAAATTTTGAAAATATAAAAAAAAATATTAGATATTAATGTTTGAAAACAAAAAGAAAAACACAACAACCAAAAATAAATTAGATGTCAAAATAATTTCGCAACGGTACAAAATGTGAGAAATGTAAGGTCAAAAATTAATGCCAATAAGATCAAGAATAATATGCCAAAAAAAAAGTTGCTAAGTTAAAAATGTTGTTTTTTAATAAATTTTGAAAAAGTAGAGAATTTGAAAAGTTAGGATAGTATTTGTTTATTTTTTTTTTTTTTTTGGTTTATATAAATTTTATAATTTGTTTTTAGGCAAACTCACAAATCAAGTTGATCGTAGTAGAGCGAATCGTCTCCAGCGGAGCTGCGTGCATCCTCATCGCTGTTCTCCTCCTCCGAGTCCATCTCTGGCTCGTTCTCGTGCTCCTCCTCCTCCAGGTCCTCCTCAGCGCTGGCTGGTGGCATGCGCACATTGCGCTCGACACGATCGCTGGTCTCGCTGAGCGCCAGCGCCGGCAGCGGCGAGCTGCTCTCCCAGCTGTCACCCGGCGTTGCTAGGCTGCTGGCCATTCTGCTGCTACCGCTGCTCGTTGTTGTTGTTGTTGCTGCTGTTGTTGTTGTTGTTGTTGTCGTGCTGCTCAGCTCTAACAAGCGCTGCAGCCTCTTTGTGACAAGGCGTTTGCCCGCGTTGCCTCCCCTCTGTTTTTTGCCGCCAGCATTGGGCCGCGGTTTGGCGCCTTTGGGGTGCTTTTTTTTGCCGCCCGCGTTGCCCTGGGCCCGGGGCTTATGCTGTGCGCCCTTGTTGGCGCCTGCTGCTGCGTGTGTGCGCTTGCCTGCTCCCGCTCCAGGCGACTTCTTGCCGCCTTGAGCCTTGGGGCCGCGTTTGCGCAAAGCACCCGCACCCGCACCCGCACCTGTACCGGCGGCCGCGACCCGCTTCAGGCAATTTTCATCATTTGGCCGGCACTTGCGCTGGTTTTTCTTCCTCCTGGGCCGGTTAACTTTACTGCTATTGCTACTGTTACTGTTAATGCTACTGCTAATGTTACTGCTAGTGCTATTGTTACTGTTAATGCTACTGCTAATATGGCCGTTGTCGCTTTGACTATTGTTACTAATACTATGCAGGCTGCTGGACCTGAACTCAGGCACAGGAACACTACTGCTACCACTACTACTGCTGCTGCTGCTACTGCTGCTGCTGCTGCTGCTGCTGCTGCTGCTGCTGCTGCTGCTGCTGCTGCTGCTGCTGCCGCTGCCACTGCTGCCACTGCTACTGCTACATTTCGGTCGCGGCATGAAGTGTGCCGCGTCGATGAGCTCTATCAGCGGCTTGCCGGTATCACAGAGTTGGCGCACGCCATGCTGGACGCGATTGGCCCCAAAATTCTTGGCTATCAGCTGCTCGACACGCTCCTGCGGCACCGTCTCGGTGATCGCATTCGTGTACGTGGACAGCTTGCCCAATGTCCTGGTGGCCGGAATTTGCGTGCGACGCGGCGCACCATAACGATTTAGCGCCAAATAGAATTTTCGCCTCGAATTCGAGTTGTATGTGGAGGAGTATGTGTTGTAATTATGCAGCTCCACATTCTCGTTGAAGACACAGTCGTCGGTGAAGTCTTTCTGTAACAGTTGAGAACTAGAATTAAATTATTTGACTATAAAATAGGCAACATATAAATACGTTTAGAAGACAGCTTGATATGTTAGAGGGAATAATATGTTATGTTAACGAAATGTTAGGTAACACTGCTCTGTTAGCAAGTCTTGACATTTACTGTTAACACCTTTGGCATGTATGTTAATGGCAATGTAGGCTAACAGCTGTACATTTAACAGCTTCTTTACAGTTTCTTAGCATCTATGGAAGAAAGAAATACCACCTTAAGGCTTCAGCGAGACAGTTTAATAGACTTCAAATATAGATCACACGCTGTTTTTTTTTTTTGTGTATTTTATAAATACAAAACGTTCAATTGCCCTATCATAGAGATCATCAACTATCTTATGGCTGCGTTGATGGTTTCTCATATGCATAACAAACAACAGGGCCAGCTTTAGCAAGAAAACCCGCCAGTTGACCATATTTGAATAGGAACCTAAATGCCTGAGGGCTACCTACACAGTTGGCAATGGGTGTTGCTTGTTGTCGGTGGCCTTTTGTATCTAAAAGGAACGCGTATCTGTTAGATAAATGTGCTCATTATCACAGGATGTGCTCGCTATCGGCGTTGGCCATCGATAGACGCCGGCACACTGTGCCTGACGCTGACCCTGACCCTGACATTGACACTGACCATAAAGTTGCCTACTTTATGAATGCCACATGACAGCCGCACAAAAGGACAACAAAACAAGTCGCAGACTTCAACTATTCATGGTTTAGGTAGAAATGTAAAACAGCTACAAAGGATTGAGGCCCCGGCTGTGATCTTGCGTCTCTCTGGCCTTTAGATGCGCCGCAGCGCTTTGTTGTTTGCCCATCGGCAGATCAAATTCAATTAACAACATTGAATTAATTCGCTTGTCAGGCAATTAAAATTGTTGCGCCCAGCAAAAGAGCGAAAAACTCTTCTCAGGCAAAACAAAAAGAGAAGAAAACTCACCCAACTGCCATGTGGCAAATGTCGACGCTTAAATTTAGAAATTAATCAGACCAAATGTCGCGCCGGCTGCCGGCTACACCAATTTGATATGAAATGAGGCATCAAGTGGGGTTGGGTTGTTAATGTGAACAAAATGCGAAAAGGGGCGCTTTCAGTCTGCAAAATACGGTTAAACATGTTGACGCCATTTCAAAGGTCCTCTACGCCCGCGGCTAGACAACAGTTTTTGACATATGTGACAACAGAATGTGGCAGGGCGCGTCGCAGGCAGCGTCTTTTATGATTCTTTTCCGAAGATTTTCCGGCTATTTTTGGACTTAAATTAAGTGAAAATTGCAGTTAGAAAGGAAATGAAGTTGTCTGCTGGCATATCAAAAGCCATTAGCTGAGCACTTGCCGCTTATCAGGCTGGCGCCAGGTGGAAAGGGTCAAGGGTCAGTGTTAGACACACGCCTACAACAAAACCAAAAGAAACGAAAAACGGTACCACTCAAGCGCAACCACATTCTTTTGGGCCCGACTTTATCAGCTGAACAGGACCATAACAATGATAATGCCGCAACATATTCATTGGCAATGGACTGGGCATGACTGGGCATTAATTGATCGCCGTGGTGCATGCACCGCGGGCGGTCGGCTTTTTGTCTGTTCTGGCTGCCAGCTCAGAGATTCCAGTCACAGTTCAAATTATGCAAATTAATAATCACATTTATATACTTATGGCTAAAACATTTTAATTGGCCAACACCGTTGGCCCAGACGCTGACTCACGCGCGTATCTCTCTCTCTCTCTCTCTCTCTCTCTCTCTCTCTCTCTCTCTGTCTGTCCCTCTGTTCTTTGGGTGCCAACAAATTTATGAATTGGCAAACGTTTTGGGATTTCAATTAGCTGCCCCATTAGGCAGCTAATCAAATCAGCTGCCACACGGTCACAAGATCGCAACGCTGCTGGCATTTCAAAATGCATTAAGGCGCGGCAATGGGAAGGGAGAGCACAATGCGGGAAACAACAAAAAGGAAAACAATTCGCAAGTGCATGCAAATCTATTTTAAAACTGCTGAGAAAGCGACTTTAATGGAAATATATATGTATATATATATATATATATATATATTTAAATGAGCTATTTAAATTTTATGCAGGGGACTTTTGGCCTAGCACCTGCTCTTTCAGCACAGTAAAAATAACTCTAATAGGTCGTAAGCAAATCGTTTAAAATTTTTGTCAGTTTGTTAAATATTAAGAAATATAACAAATATTCTATAACTTCCGATTTATATGATTTAAATAATAAATAACAAATAAAATCTAATATATTAATAAATAACTTATAACATTGATAATAAAAATAAGAACAATTATAATTAAAGTAGTAGTAATAATATTATAATAATAATTATAAAAAATAATAATAATTATCATGAAAAGATAATTACTAATCATAATAACAACAAAAATAATAATAATACAATTAATAATAAGAAATGTATGCAAAATTATAAATGATAATTGAAATAGTAAGCAATTTTTTAATTCAAATTTTAGAAATTCTCAATAACATGCAATTTGAAAACAAAAAAGCAAAGAATGATTTTAAGAAACTAGTTATATTTATTTTTTTTTTTTTTGGTATCCGCATATATTCACTAAACTAAAACAAACTAATTTTTATGTTTCTTTTGACCATACAAATTTTGTATACATAAAAAAACTATAAATCATTAAACTTCTTATTTAGTTATATGAGTCATGTGACAAATTAATGAAATTAAAATTACAAATTAAAGAACTCGCTCTATCTAAAATTACGCCGGAAATGCTCAAGTCGGCCAATACAAATTGTGGCCACTTCCGTTGCCCAAAAAAAAAACCAAATCCAATTCGTACTCACAGCTCGAAGTTTTGGCCGGAAATCATGAAATTTCAGCGAGTGGGCAGAGAGAGGGGGGAGGGAGGAGAGAGAGAGAGTCCATTCGCTGGCTGGTTCTTTAGAAATGCACAGACTCTGGCGGACGGTCGCCAAAATAAACAAAAGCCGCCCAAATACAACGCCCACTTGACCAACTTAGTGAAATGCTTGAAAAATGCGGCGCCATCAAAAGGGCCGCAACGGCAAAGCGAAGCGTTGCCGCGTTGCGCGTTGAAGCGCATCAATCAACAGCAAGTATCTGCAGCTATGGCTGCAAATGTATCTGTATCTGTATCTGTCAGATACAAAACGCGCCTCGCCTGACAGAATTGGCACAAATGCGTCTATTTTGGCTGCTGCATGCGCAAAAGGTCAAAGGGCGGCGACAAAACTCAAATTCTCAACAGTAACCAAAGCGAAACAACAGCAACAACAACAACAACAACAATGCAGCCGCCGCTTGGCGCCAGGCGGTGAGAAATGCGACGCGCATTGCAGCGGGGAGTCGTCGGCCAGAAAGTGTCACATTAATTATCGACAGGACACGCCAGGACCCTGCTCACTTGCCACTTGACGACGCACCCCAAAAAAAAAAAAAAAAAAACAAATATATAAAATAAAACAAACCGAAACCAAAACCCATTCGAATGCCCTGAATAATGTATATATACAAGGACTAGGGATAGGGATATCTTTACGTGTGTTCTGTTTGTTGTTGTTTCCTTGAGGCTTTTTGTTGTTGCTCACTTCACTCGTCGCACTTAATGTTGTTATTTATGGCTGGATCTTTTGTTTGTTTGAGCCTTTGTTATTGGGCATTATCGAAATTTGCCGCTTCAGTTGAAGATAAGGCCACATAATTATAATTGAAATCATAATTTCAAATACAATGAAAACAATCCATCAGAATTTAGTTTATTATCTGTGCGACAATTGGCGTCACGTGCAAAATAATTGGGTCGGAAAATCTAGGACTTAGAGACGAGAAGAGGGATTAAAATTGACTTTTGGTTAGAAGAGATTCGAATTTATAATATTCTTAGATTCGAAAGTTTATACAAAAGGGATATTTTTGTCTTATAAATTAGAGTTTGATTTTTTATTTAAATAACCTCGAGGCGAGAGGAATAGACTGAATTGTATTAAATTTATAGCTATCAATATCTACAATAGAAACAGGTTTATATAATAACGGAATAATTACAAAAATGCAATAACTAATGGAACTAATGAAATTAGAAAGGCACTATATTATTGGCACGAGCGGAACTAGGGTCAAGAATTTTAAGAGAAGGCGAAAGACAGAAGAGAACTGAAATCTGAATCGAATATTTTATCGGGATATTTTATCTGCAGAACACATTGCCAAAAAGTCCGGAATAAGTGGAATAAGATTATGTGAAATGAAATGGAATTAAAATAGTAACATTTCCCGCGTAATCCCTAGTCTAAAGACTAGTTCTAATAGTATCTGTAATTACTATATTATTGTATTGTTTACTTACCGAGGCATAGGTTGCGCCACAAGCATCCATGCACAGATACAAGCAGGTGGCCACACTTTGTATCTTAATACGACCCACATCCACAGTTGAGCGCTGCAGAATGGCTAAAAAGAAAAGAAAGCAGGGCACAAGTATTAATTAATTATCAATCAATTTCCAGCTACGACTTCAGAAAAAAAAGAGATATAATAAAAAAAAACACACACACAAAAGCCGCTTGATTAGCCGACCCAGAACCAGTGTGTCAGGATGTCAGTGAAGTGCCCAAAGCCCAGAGCCAGTTCAGCCCAGCCCAGACACAGCCAAAGCTGTTAATTAAATGTCCGACACTTTAAATGCTGTCAAAAGAAATTGCAGCTACGCTTTGGCCAGCAGACTCGAAATTTAGCCCGCACTTACGGCTATCCAAACAAGCAACGTATATCAAAAAGCTATTACGATCCCATAAAAAATAATAAAAAAAACAACATTTAATCAGACAAAGTAAAATACGCCCTCCGTATTCGAACTCGCACTTAATCATGGCATAGAGCTAGCCCAAGAGTTTAGCGTGCTGCGCCACTGCTGTGCGAAATTTGTCAACTCTAGCTGGGGCGTTGCCGTCTAAAGTGAGGTTATAAATGGCATATTTTAAGAGGAGGTTAATTGAAATTGCCGCACTTGAATCGCAGTGAATTTCAAGTTCAGGCACATTGTAAAGGTCAAACCACTTGTGTGGCCGCAGGGACCGCCCGCCCGGCAACGGCCTGTCAATTCCCAGTTGCCTGTTGTGTTGCCTGGCCAAAGTGTGTCAGCACTTTGTTGCCGGCACAACCACACACACAGACACACACAGACACCCACACACACACACACGTTCAATGAACCTTATGCACTTGGTGCATAATAAACAAGATTTGTTTAAATACTTGAACTGCAGCTTGTTATGAACCAATTGAAGTCTTAGCAGCTGCCGCGGAGATCATCAAAGCAGCCCAAAAGTACAAAAATGTATGAACAAAATTATTAGTGCGCCTTGCAGGGAGTTAATGCCGGAACACACTTCGAAGATCTGATTTTTGGCTGCAGTCAAAAGCCATTGAGTGCCCACTTGAGTGATGGAAAAATTGATTTTTGACGCCAATCGAAAATGAATGAAAACTGAGTGTGTTTTCTTTTAAAAGTTGTTTACGTTACGGTAATGATCAACTATGAATTACATGGATAAAGGCGCGCTGATTGGCCAACAGATGGCGCTAGCAAAAAAGTAGAGTATATTTATACCTTGGACTCATTTAAATTGGGTAAATTGGGCTTGTGAAAATGTATTTAACAGGGAGAAGGAAGTATATATATTATTGATCAGCACAAATAGCCGAGTCGGACCAGGCATGTCCGTCCGTCTGTCCGTATGTATGAACGCAAGGATCTCAGAACCTTTAAGAGCCAGAGACCAGAGAGTACGTAGGTCCTCCTGGTGCCTACGCACTATGAGAATTTTCCTATAATCGATAACTTGCCACTTTTAAAAGCGATGAGCAATTCTGTTATGTTTCAAGAGCTTTTATATTCAAGAGCCAGACTGAAAAGTATATACAGATCAAGTATCTTTCTTGTTATACCTACTCCCACCAAGAAGGTTCAGGGTATCCTCTAGTCGGGCATTCCCAACTAGAACATATTTTGCTTGTTTTTATGGGAGCACTTTATGAGCTATGTCTAAAGGAAACGGGAAATACTTGCGTTGCGCATAAGCACTAACAAAATGTCTCGGGAAAAGTCAATGAAAATGTGGCAGGCGGCCAGCAGAGGGCGCCAGTAAATATTTACGATGGTAACTTTTGGCAATATGTGAGCACGTTATGTGCTATGACAAATGGAAACTAAACTAGGGCAACATATTAGATGAAATTTTCCAAGAAAACTTGATTGAAAGTAGGCGTAAGCTTGTGATATGCGTAAGTGCGTAAAAAATGTCGGTTATGACAAACGCTTGCATAGAACTTTTTGCTAAAACTGTGTCAAAGATAAGCAGACGCCAGGGCGGCGCAAAAAAAAGTAGTATAAAAAAAAAATATTAAAAAAAATACAACAATTGGTTTCAATAGCTCTTTTTGCGATTTACGGCCCAGCGTATCCGTAGTTGCAGCTATATATCTATTGTATTCGTATCTGTAGCTGCAGCTAAGCTAAACAAACTGGAGCAACAAACAACATTGAGGCGTGTTTTAAAATGCATTTCTGGTCGTTTATTTACAGCAAAACGGAAATTATAAAGTTGCCGCCGGATAAAAGTAAAATTGTTAGCCAGTGCTTGATTTATAATTTCCACGCAGCTAAAATTCAAAAATCGAAGCCATGAATAATTGCCACAGTTTTTAATGCAATTGCGCCTTTAAAAAAATATATGTACATATATACAAAAATGAAAAGAAAAACTAAAATAAATGATATGCTAAGCGCTTCAGGTCATTTGTTAGAAAATGTAGAGGGAGTTCGTTGTAGAAGGGGCCGAAGGGGAGGTGCTGCTAGTGACAGCCTTTCACTTTGTGTGTGTCCAAATGTCGCTTTTGGTGTTGCATTTCACTTGGCTTGCCCCATTTAAAAAACGATTTGTTTAGCTCGAGTTAACATAAGTAATTTTTCTTGTTTTTATCTGAATATTTTTTTTTTTTTTTTCGATATACATGCATATGTGTTATACATATGAAAACATTTAGTTCGAATTATGTGTGTGGGTCGCACAACGAATCGCTCAAAATTCATATTTCCACGCATTTATTCTTGTTACTGTTGTTGTTGCTGCTGCTCTGCTCTGCTCTGCTCGGCTGCTGCTGCTGTGTTAAATTTAACCCTCAAATCAGCAGCAGCAACTAAAACAACAACATTTTGAGCAAGAGCGAGTGAGAGAGAAGGGTAACGAGAGCGCCTATTCACAACACACAGCGAGCAAACTTGTGGTGCGCTCAGTGCTGCTTGTGATGGAACTTTGTGCGCAGTGCTAGCAAGTGGCGCCGTGGCTTAGTTGGTTAAAGCGCCTGTCTAGTAAACAGGAGATCGTGAGTTCGAATCTCGCCGGGGCCTAGCGATACGAAAGTTGTCGCGCGTGTTAGTTTTTTAAAATTTTAAAAGCTTTTTCTAAAGCATAAATATTTTTAAATATATGTATATCAAATTATATTTACACATATGTATTTTTGTATACGTTTTTTAGACATTATTTTAAAATTATGTATTAAGTTAAACTATGAAAATTGAAAAGGCTTTACATTTTTAAATAAAGGTAAAATTAATACAAATTCTTTGAAACTCGCCATTATTAAAACAGATTATCTAATAATTTTGCTAGTTATTAAGTTTATATTGTAAGGTAAAATTCGTTTGAGCAAGCTAAGCCAATCCAGATAAAAAATCAATACAAACTAATAATACTTTTCACTTCGTAGAGGTGTGAAATAAATGCATAATAACAATACTCGAATGATCATTTATTGAACCATAAATGAGCTGGCAGCACACAAATTGCTCGTCAGTTCATTGAACCAATCTGTGATATGTATTTGGGAACAGGAAGCGTACGCAGAATCAAAAAATCGAATCCGTATTATGAGTTGCTCAAATTCGAATCCCAAATTCGAGGCACGCATTTGAGCTGCTTTAAATTGCCCACATATTAAGCACGTAGACGAGTCAGAAAGGCACGCACTCTCAATAATTAAAATGTCAAAATATGCCTGTCAAAAGGGTGAAGTTCTACTGGAAGGTGTACGGAATTGAGTTATGTGACAAACTTGAAATATTTCCCCACCTCCCTCGTGTGGTTAAACTCCTCCGTTAATCACCGTTGAAGGCGCACAATTTATGCTAATGAGGCCTTAATTTCGAGACTTTGTCGCCGACTCGACAGTCGATAATGATAAAATTTATGATCGGCTCTTCAATAAAAGTTGACAAAAAAATATTTCAAAAAGTTTTTTTTTTTAATGTGTGCATAAAAGTCAAGCACATAAAAAAACACATGCATATTTAAAAAAAAATGTATTTTTCTTTTATATTTTTAATTATACTTACAAAGAAAATGATGTGTGACATATAATACAATTTATGCAGCGCTTTGTGGTTATTTAACATAATTTGACAGAGGCCCTATAGAGTCAACCACAATGGATTTTTACTACTGTGCGCCGATTTTATGATCGAGTTGTGTTTCTTCTTTGTTGTTTTGTATTGTTTTTTTTTTTATATTTTTTATTTTATAATTTATGTATGTGGGCAGCGTATTTTGACAATCTAATAGCATTTACGGAGTCAACGCATATCAATCAAATAAATGGTATCTTATAGATACATGGCATATTGAGCAGCTGATCTTTGTAGCCATTTAAAAATAATTATTGGCCGCTTAGTTAAGTTGTCTATTCAAAGGCCATAAATCTTTAGAGTTAAGATTGGGTTTTTGCGGAATATGCCTGGGCGCTCAGATAAGCGCTTTATACGCATATCTATTAGCGCTCGGAGTGGAAAAATGTTTATTGCATGGCGGCCCCGTTATGAAAGTGAAAACTACCTATGAAAATATGGCTGGCTGTGGGAAAGCCGACAGCGCTCTCACCCTTGGAGGGAGCACAAGAAAATTGAAATTGAATACATATCTTATCTTTTATTAACACCCATTCAATATAAACGTTTGCACGTTTGCCAACACACGCATTTTCACAGTTGGCTACGTTTTTTTATATTTTGTTTTACCCCCGTGTATCTGTACGCAATTATTATTATCATATCGGCAGCTATTGTTCGGCTTGCCAATAATCGAATTGCATCTTTTTTTATATATATATTTGTGTGTCTTTTTTTTTTTTTTTGAGGGGGTTGTCAACGGATTTCCTGCGCATTCGCCCAATATCCGATAGGGCAAATGCGCATAAGTATAAATTAGAAAACACATTGACAGCTGACGACTTAGGGGTTGCTATAGATTGGCATAGTTGTTGTCAATCCGGCCACGCCCACATTTGGCAAATGAGAAACTTTATGAAAATGCCTGCATATGTGCTAGTTTTAGCATTTTCATTAGTTTCTAGATCAACGGTAATGATAGAAACGTGGACATTGATGGGATTTG